GCTGACGCGCCCCCTGCACGCCCGGCTGACGCATCCCCTGCACGCCCCCGACATGCTCCCCTGCACGCCCGGCTGACGCGCCCCCTGCACGCCCCCGACATGCTCCCCTGCACGCCCGGCTGACGCGCCCCCTCCACGCCTGGCTGACGCGCCCCCTGCACGCCCGGCTGACCCGCTCCCCTGCACGCCACCCTGACGTGCCCCCTGCATGCCCGGCTGACCCGCTCCCCCGCGCGCCCGGCTGACATGCTCCCAGGCAGGATCACGGGTCAGCGCTCGAGACAGGAGCAGGTAGACAGGCCAGGTAGGTGCCAGTCACAGAGTGGACCTCAGGCTGTATAGCAGGTCACAGACGGAGCCTGACTGGGATGGGCTGTAAGGACGGGCCAGGAGGCCTGCAGTGCCTGTGGCCACTGTCCTTGTTGACCCTGTGTGGAAGGCAAGAGGGAGGGCTGGGGGCCCTGTCTTCACTGTGTGGAGTGCCCAGATCCCTGGTTGTCACCTCAGGGGCGACTGCCCTGTCTGGACTGCCCCCATTACCTAGAGGCCAGCCCGGGGACCCTGTCCATGCACTGGTCGGCAGCCTGTCCTCGCTTCCGGCCCCACCTCCAGCCCGCGTGGGCTCCCGAGGCCACCCAGTGCCGCTGTCCCTGAGCCTGACGGCGGTAGGCGATGTACAGATGGAGCCGAGTGCATGCACGTGGAATGTCCGTGGTGGCCTCTGCGCCCTGCAGGAGCCCCAGAGTGGCCCTCGGTGCCTGTGGATGTCATAGCCCAGAACAGAGGCGCCCAGCGTGCTCTCCTCCTGAGGCCTCGCACCAGGCTGCCCGTGGCGTGGGCCGCAGCCCCTCGCTGGGCTGAGGGCAGGGAGACGTGCTCTCTCCTTGTCCACAGGGTACCCCCATCTGCCCAGGCAGATGGGACCATCCTCCTGGCAGGAGGCCCTGAGCCGTTTGCAGCTGTGCCTGTTGCCACCCGGGGCGACCTGTGGGAATGAGGCTCCACCAGGGGTGGCTGGGACCCCGTTTCCCAGCCACAGCCAGGCCACGCTGCTGAGGCCAGCGGGGGTCGGAGAGCTCCTGCGAGCGGCAGTTCTCCTGGAGGGGGCCCCCCTGCTCTCCCTTAAACTGGGACAGGAAGGTGTGAGTGCCCCACGTTGCAGACAGGACTCCCGCGGCTCGGAGCTGGGGACTGGGAAGTACCAAGCTGGAATGCAGACCACGCTCTGTGCCACGCTCCGTGGCCACACTGCCTGTGGTGTCTGTTGCAGCCCCCGCACTGCAGTGCGCACGTGGCCGGTGGCTGGCGTGCTGTGTGACAGATACAGGTCTCGGCACTGCCAGGCCCCCGGGGCAGGGGGATGTGAGGGGCCCGGAGCACATCTCCAGTGGCCCGTGGGGTCGTGGGCCGCAGTGCGCCAGCCCCGCAGCCCCACTCCCAGTGCGGGCTGCGCCGTGGGTCAGCTGCCCGGGCGGGCTACCAGCAGGGCAGGGGCAATGTGGAGGCCCCTGAGTGGGTGGCGGGGCCTGGGGTCGGCGGGGTGTGGAGCCCCAGCAGCTCAGGACCTGCCTGCAGAGGCGAGAGGCTGCTGCCCCCCATCACAGCCGAGGACCCTCATTACGCCTGGGTCCTGATCCAGGCATCGGGATCGACCTTCCTGTCAGCTGAGATGAGGTTTCTTTCTGCCTCGAAGACGGAGCTGGGATGCCGCGAGGGCCCATGGCTGCGTCAGCTTGAACGTGGGAGTTGGCATGTGTGTGGTCTGGGGAGGGGTTCGTAGGGTTGCCCTGAGGGCCATGGTGCGGGGAGGGGCTGGTGGAGGTCGGAGACACAGTCGCCGGCTCAGGGGCTCCAGAATCTGCCCGATGCTGGGGCTCAGGCCGGGCTTCGGCCCTGGCTCCCCGTGGAACTGGAGCCTCAGGGCTGCCGTCAGACCTGTCACCGTCTTGCGCCTCGCCCCTGGGTGGCCATGGGCTTGGGGCCTCGGCAGTGACTGTTGAAGCGTCCTTCATCTGTGACGGCGTGGTGCCCAGAGTCGCGTTCTTTAGGAGCCACCTAGGACTCCGCACCCCCTCGGCACGGGGGTGTCTACACTGGTCCTGGGTCCCTGCTCCCTCCCTGCTGACCCCAGTCTCTCACTTCCTCTGCTTCCCAAAATACAGATCCTCCATCCCTGCGGGGCACTGCCTCTCAGCGAGGCGTCTCCAGGATGGAGCCAGAACCCCAACAGGTGGGCTGGCTCATCCGTGTGCGCTGTCACCGTCTTCCCTGTCGTTGTCCTCATTGTCCTTGTTTGTCTGGGGGCCTCCTCTCTGCCTGTCCTGGGCGTGCTAGGGGCCCGCAGCTGGTGCCCCTCGCTTCCTGTGGGCCCACGCGGCGTATCTGAAGCTGTCTGGCACTCCCTGGGGGCTCAGGTGACCAGAGCCCTGGGGTTGGGCAGGAGTGTTGCTTTGGGTGCACAGCCCGTCCACGTTGTCGACGTGGCAGTGATGGGAGCCAGGTGCACAGAGCTCCAGGTCCCAGGCAATGGAGCTCGGCACCACCACACCGTGTCAGCCTAGGAGGGACCCCGCAGGCCCTGGGGTGAGGTCACATGCCATCCTGCCATCCTTGGGGTGGGGGGATGGGCCAGGGTGCAGCTGGTCGGTGGAAGCACGGGGAAAGTTTATTACAGAGAATGACTAAGTGTAGTGAGGGCTTGCCAGTGAGCTGAGAACTCGAGACCCAGGAGGAGCAGATTCCAGGGCAGCCACTCCCCCAGGGCTGCGAGGAGGCCCAGCCATGGCTCACAGAATGACCGAGAAGCCACGGGAGCCGAGCCCACGGGACTTGCCAGGAAGGCTGCTGCTCATGGGCAGTCCGGCCGGGGCCACGGTGGACCATCGGCTCCCGGCTCCATGGAAGAGCCTTCCTCTATTACGCTGATACGTCTCTCCAGCGCCTTCTGCTTCACATCGGACCATCTGGCAAAGGAAGCCCTCTGTTTCCACGGAGCGGGCGATGGAGGAAGATTGGAGGCAGAGGCCGTGACTTGATGACCAGCATGGGGGCGGGGGCCCCTCGGGAGGGTTTCTCTCTTCCTTCCATCCCTTCCTCTAATGACCACTGTTGTGGTTTCTGCTTTCCTGCTTCTGCCAGGGCCCATGTTGAGTGCAGCCCCTGCTGGTGCGGGAGGCTGGGCCGGGCTCTGTTGCGGAGCCCCAACATGCTGCCCTAAGAGGGCCCGTCGGTCGGCCTCCAAGGCCCCACTGACACGTGGTAGGTTCAGGCTGTGAATCCGGGCGTGGCTGTCGTGTCTGCTGCCCTAGGAGGACAGGAGCAGCGGTCCAGTCTGGCTCAGGCCCAGCTCTGTGCCTGCCACACACGTGCCCGTGGACCCTGGACGCTCCTGAGGCAGGGCTCCGGGGTCTCTGCTGTCACAGGACGGTGTGTGAAACAGAGCAGCAGTGAATCGCGCGCTTCCGCCTTGTTGCCCACGAGCTGTGGAGCCAACGGGAGCTCTTGGACGCCCCCGCCGTCCTCCCCCCGACCCCCCCGACCGAGTAGAGGCCGTGAGGCTGCAGCTAGAGGAGTGGTCACACAGCCCTGGGGGCTCACCCTCTGCCCTTCTCCCCATGGCCATCAGCACCCGTGAGTCCCAGACATGCCAGCCTCTGGCCCGTGTTCACCTCTCAGCTCCAAAAGCCTGGCCCTGCGGTCCTGCCCAGAGCAGCCACCCGCCTTGACGTATGTCCTCTGACGCCTGAAGCTACCTGCCTCCTCATCCTCCGGCCCCTCCGGTGTGGGCTGCATGTCAGCAGGCTGGCTTTGCTGCCATGGCCTTGGTGCAGGGGTGGGGCCTGGGCCCTTGGAGGCCTTTGGGTTGGGAGGGTGCAGGCCAGGCGGCTCTAGCGGAGGCATGGGGCTGGCGTGGCCGGATTTCTTTCTCTGTCCCTGGCATCCAAGCAGCCCAGACTGGGGTGGTCCTCCAGGTCGGGGTTCGTGGCTCCTCTTAGCTTGCTGTCCCTCACCCTCCACACACAGCTCTCAGTTTAAAGGCTGTACACACTCTGGTGGGTAGGCTCTGCCGGAGCACACGATAAAGGCTTTGCAAGAATGGCTGATGTCATGAAATTCCGGATGTGCACGTTGGCATCGTAAAATCGTGGCATTGCAGGGCTGGAAGAAAGAGCCCTGTGCCACCTGGTGCTGATGTGGAGGCAGGCCCAGCTGGCCGAGGCCTCACGGGCGTGCGGAAGTGAGATGTCCTCCCAGCACCAGGTGCCTGAGCCCCCTCTGCTCCTGCTCCTTGTCTGCTGACCTCCAGCTGGGGGGGCGGGGGCTGCACACACCCTTCCGGCTCCTCCTCCTGAAATGTCCTGTCCTTGCTTCCTAGCTGGGCCGAGAAGCACGAGAACTGGAGATTTCAGAAGACGAGGCAGACCTGGCTGCTGATGCATATGTACGACAGTGACCAGGTGTGTGCACGCTGGGGCGGGGGGCGGGGAGCTAGGTGTGTGTACCTGGTGGGGAAGAGGAGAGGAGATGGGTGCATGCCGGGGGTGGAGGGGTCTCCCAGATGACAAAGTCTGTGTATGCTTGGGGGTGGGGTTAAGTCAAGCAGTGACCAGGATGGAAGGACCCAGTGCCAGGGCCTGCTCCAGCCACACGGGCCTGAGGCCTCCCCTCCAGCAGGGGCGTGGGAAGGGCAGTCCCCCAGCAGCCAGGGCTGGCCAAGGCTGTGGTTAAGAAAGAGGCCCTAGCAATTGTGGTGGAACCCCCCCCAGGAGCCCCCAGTCCAACCCCTCATTTTACAGAGGGAGGGCCTTGCTTGGGGTCAGGGGGTAAGAACCCCTATGCAGAGCAGGGGCTTGTCCAGAGGCCAGGCTTGGGCCAGGGGCTTGCGGGCTTGGGGCCTGGGCCGTTGGCCCACCTGCTTCCATTGAGCTGAACCTTCCCCAAGGAAGCTGCCAATGTTAGGGGAATGTTGTCCCGGGAGCTTGGAAGTCCTGCCCTTCCCATCTTTTGACCCTGGGGGGTGAGGAGACAGTGTGTCCCCCCCAAAACTCCGTCGTGCCCTCTTCCTGCAGATGAGCCCGGCTCACAGGACCACCATGGGCTCTGCTGGTTCTCGGTGGCTTCCGTGGGCAAGGGTCCCGTCTACAGTCGCATTTGCTTGTCTGCCCCTGTCATTTCCTCTAGTCTGGAACTTCCTTCACAACCTTGATGGGCCCGGAGAGGCCAGTTGTCAGACAGCTGGGACGTGTTTGTGCCCTCCCAGTGCACTCAGTAGCAGGTGCAAGGTGGTTGGATGCTGACATCGGTCCCGTGACTTGGGGGAAACCAGCTGGTTTTGCTCCTGTAGTAATCAGCTGTGTCTGTGGAGTTGCTTCGAGATGATGGAAACACCCCGTTCCTCATCCCCCTGTGCCCGTCGGTCTTAGTACCCATCAGCAGCTCTGGTCTGGGTCAGCGGTCACCATGGTGCTGGCTACGTGGTATGCGTCCTCTTCCACATTCGTCGATCAGCACGTGGCTCTAGGGAAGGGCCTGGCCGCCTCCCTCATGGCACTGTGTTGGGGCAGGTGTGGGTGCGGGTGCGTATACACCCTGTGGGGGGCAGGTGTGTGCACGCGGGGGGTGCAGGTGCGTATACACCCTGTGGGGGGGCAGGTGTGTGCACCAGGGTGTCCAGGTGTGTGCACGCCCTGTGGGGGGCAGGTGTGTGCACGCAGGGTGTCCAGGTGTGTGCACGTGGGGGGTGCAGGTGCGTATACACCCTGTGGGGGGCAGGTGTGGATTGTCTATCAGTGTTGGTTTTCTCGGGTCGTCATCCCTTGCTGCCATCATTTGTTTTGACAAGTGTAGTTTCATGGCAACTGTGGTTGGTGGTTCTGTGGCCGGGAGGTCAAGGGTGCCCGTGTGCACATGATGGGGGGACCTCTGTGGAGGAAGCACCTGAGAGCCACAGTCGGAAACAAGGCTGTGGGTGTGGCAGGATGGGGCGGACAGCTATCCACATGGGCCAGGGCTGCTGCAGGAGTCACAGGCCGGCGGTGTGGCCCACGGCAGAGCCCCCTCGGGGGCAACAACACCACACCCCTTCCCCGTGACCCCACTGTCCTGCACAGCCCCATGCCAGCTCCCCACTCGCCGCAGCTAGGGGCACACCCCAGTCCCCCATCGCCAGACTTCTGGGCCCAGGAGCTCAGAGCCAGGGGACCCACGGTCCCCTGAACTCTCGGGAGCAGGTATCACATGCAGGGAGCCAGTGGGGAGCTATGCGCACAGACCTCCGTGCCCTGACCACCCTGCCCGGGTCTGTGTTCCCCTCCGCCCCTGGGGAGGGGACCAGGGTGCCCCGGGGACCACTGCTGCGGCCAGATGGCCCCTGCTTTCCGGTCGTGCCCATCCCCTTGAGACCACCTAGTCGTCACAGTGGTGGGAGCTGTGCTAGGGACAGGTCGTCACCTTGATGAAGCCTGATTTTTCTATTTTTTCTTTTGTTGTTTGTGTTTTTCGCGTCATAACTATGAAATCATTTCCTAACCCGAGGTCAGGAAAATGACCTCTGTTTTCTTATAAGGGTTTTTTAGTTTTTGTTCTTACATTTGGGCCTTTGACCAATGGGAGTTAACCCTGTATGTGGTGAGTTAGGCTTCCTGCACGTGGGGACGTGCACCACCCGTTGAATGGACTGTGCTCCCCACGGTGGATGGATGCAGCACCTTGCTGCTTCCCAGCATCCTGCCAGTTCCTTACCAGTCTGCCCTGCTGGAACGTGCACCCCATGAGGACAAGGCTTGTCGGCTCTCACTGACCCTTCACAGCTGCCTCGGCTGCCCTGGAAAATGGGGCACATGTATCTGAAAACCCAGCTGGGGGACTGGTGTCCGGGGGCTTTCCAGAGAGGGTGCAGTAACCGGTGGATGGAAGGATGGAGGGATGTGAGCCCATTGAGTCAGGGTCAGAGCTCATTTGGGGCCCAGCACAGGCAGTGGGATAGAGGAGAGCCCTGAGCCGCAAGTGGATGACTATGGCCAAGGCACCTAGGGATGCTGGGAAGGGAGGAGAGGGTCGAGCTGGTTATTGGTGTGTCTGCAGTCCTGATAACAAGGCCTGGCCCTCCGTTCAGCAGACACTCCCAGGGCCTGTGTGGCTCAGCAGGGTTGGGGGGGGAAGGGCAGCAGGGACAGGATGGGAGCCCGGGGTGGAAGCTAGGGGGCCGTGGTGCTCTGGACCCCAGACTCTGTAGATGGTTCTCCCTCTGCCTCCTGGCCCCACAGTCAGCCGTGCTCCTCACACTTCCTGCCGTCCTGCCTACAGGCTCCCTCCAGAGCAGCCCGCCACCCTGGACGGGCCCTGCTCTGCCGGCTCTTGCGTGGCTCATGCTCGGGCCTCTCTGCGACCCTGCAGCACAGTGCCGGGATGCTCCTCGGCGGGACCATTGCAGTAACAGCTGTGTGGTGCCGCCTGCTGGATCAGCAGAGGCCATGACGTGAGGCAGAACTGTCCTCGGTCCCACACGTGTCCAGTCAGCCCGGCGTACGGAGTAGAAGAAACCAAGCTAGCATCTGTCTCCCCCGGGAGCCTCGCTCCCAGCCCCCAAGGCAGAGGCAACACGGGCCCAACCTCAGGTGGCCACCTGCCTGCGTAGGGCATCGGTGTGTGTGTGCATGCGCGTGTGTGTGTGTGCATGTGCGCGTGGGCGCGCACACCCCCCACTGTGTTCGGAAGGACTTCCTTCCGGGAGCAGGATATAAGATTTGGTTTCACGGGACAAGACAGATCCAGAAGCCTGACCTACCCGCAGGGTGGATGACAAGGGAGCATGAGGGAAAGCCTGGAAAGTGCCCCTCACGGTCAGGACGCACCGAGAGGGGAGCCAAGGCCAGTCCCCAACAAGCCACGTTGGGCCGGCTGGATATCCACACGTCAAAGAATGAAGGTGACCCCACCCAACCTCTAACAAAAGTGAAAAGTGAGTCGGAGCCGCAGATGTCAGGGCTGACGCTCTCCTGTCATGACCTCGGGCCAGGCACAGGTGCCTTAAACACAGCTCCACAAGCATGGTGACACGGAGGGACAGGCAGACGGGACAGCCACCCACAGAATGGGAGAAAGTGCATGTGCGCCCCGTGTCCCGCGGCCGGTCTGCCACGCAGGGAGAACCTTCCTAGCTCGGTAACAGGACAGCCCCATTTCAAAGTGGACAGAGGGTCCACGTAGACGCTTCTCCAGAGCAGACGGCCCAGGTGACCGGGAGGACCTGCAGTGGTGCCCCGCGTCGCTGGCGCTGGGGGGACGCCCACCAGCCCAGTGTGGCCGTGACGAGCAAGGACGGCCAGTGGTGCGTGTTGATGAAGACACAGCTTCCCTCCCGTGTGCTCCTGGAGCACCCTGTTCCCGTGTTCCAGATGGATCGCATCTCCGGGTTTCTCCAAGGATGGCAACAATACGGTTTTGACATTTTCTTCTCTCTGTATAACCTTTATTTTATCCAGGTTGCTTCTTGTTTGTTTGCTTGGCCTCTGACTTTGGAATCAGAGACTTTGCTCCCAGGTGGTGCCCTGTGGGGGTGGCCAGGAATGCACGCGGCCCGGTGGCCTGTGCACTTCCGTGTGGGTTCCATGTGGGTTGATGGGCTGGGCTCAGGATCATGGGTCTTCTCTCCTGTATCCTCAGATTTCAGAATAGAATCTTGTAGTCTTGCCCCAGGACACAGGCTTGGCTGCCGACACTGTGGAAGCCGGGTGGGGGGGTGGTGGCAGCCCATTGGAGGAAGCGGGGGCAGCTGTCGGGGGAGGGCGTGAGTTCGGGGGAGGTCAGTAAGTAGAGGGACGTAGCGTGGGGGGCAGCCCATTGGAGGGAGGCAGG